TATTGACCGGCATCGGTATATATTTCAAAAACCGACTAATTTTATTTGATATAAAATTTATATTTTATGTTGTTATCCGCATTTTCATTGGGGCCGTCGCATTGCAATTATTCGTAAAACAAAGAGACCAATATATGCAATGCACTTGGAAGACTTTCACAGTTTCAGCCCAAAGAGCGTACAAGATCGGAACAGCGTGAACATGAAACACACACAAGAAAAAATCATCACATCGAACACTATTAGCGTTATTGGTAACAGTGCACCGCGAAAGCGGGAAGCAAAAGTTGTGGTTCTTACTGAGTCCAGTACATATATTCCTCTGCCATTCGATCGTGCCACTGAACAGTTTCGTTTGGGTAACGAGTGAAATTCACAAACTCTCTGTATGTATGAAGAGCAACATGACTAGCAAATGGTACAAAAAAAAAGAATCAACAACCCAGAACTCGTAATAATTATTATAAGTAGCACACAGATTGCTAATTTATATCTTGGAAATTCGTCTGGTCGGTGGGTTCTTTTGTTTATGACAGAGAGAAAGAGAGACTTCAAATGCGTTAGATGCCGATGCGCTGTTGGATACCTTTTAGCGGCAAACCAAATTTATGTCTTCTAATCGTATTCACAACTGGCAACTGCCGCAAATATCTAGAGCATTTTAGAGGTTTTTTTTTTCTCTCCTTCGCTATACGTATTCGCCCAGCTTTTCATCCATTTTTTTCCTTCGTTCTCTCTCTCTCCATTGACTCTGGAATCTTTCTTTTTTTTATTCATGTTTTTATTTATTGCCACGACGAAAGCCATTTATGAATGAAGCTCTTTTTTCCACCTCATTGCAATTTTTCTTCACTGAATCTAGAGACGATTCGAGCGGCATGCATAGCCACATACATATGTATGCGGTTAGTTTTTTTTGAAATTGTCTGAAAAACACATACACACACACACACCCAGGAGATTTATCATGTACCATTCATTCAACAAACAGCAACAAATAAACAAGCAACGATCTTGCAGAAATTTACTCGTTTCTGTTTATTCGTGAGATTTATTCTAAATCAGAAAAACCATAACGCCGCCGAAGGAAAACTCGCATAATTTAGCACACAATTTTAGAGTCTGACAGAGAGACAAGCAACAGGTGAACGAAAAGCAGAACAAAAAACAAAAATAGTTGCTTTGCCAATGCAATTATCATATTATATTTAAGAATGCAATTGCTTGAGTAATTCATGTCCATACCAAGTTTTTACTTTCAAGCGATGCTTTTGTGTCTTTCGTTATTTTTGGACGTACAACGTTTTTTTTTTCTCTCTCTCGGTCGTTTCGTTCTCTGATTTCCATTTCCAATGTAGAATTGACTTGTGAACAATTCTACTTTGGCTCGAGGGTATTATCGAATGCCACTTCGAAGTGTTAATTGGTGCGTTGATTCTCTGGAATTCGACTGTTTTTAAACTGAAATGTTGAAATGAAGAGACTGAATTTTTTTTTCTCTCTTCTATCGTCCTCTTTCCCATCGAAATTCGAAATGAAATCGAATACATAGTATTACATACGGTTGAAACGATCGATCGATAGTTTATGTTTGGACTTTGACATTTGATGCTGCAATAGATTTAAAATCCATTTTTTTCTCTATGGACTTATGGCAAAAAGAGTGGAATCGAATTAACTTTGCCATAAAAGAGGTGAGTGTGTGTGTGTGTGTGTGTAGTATGTGCCATGGCTGTCAAAATCCAGGCGACTGGAAAATCGATGTAACATATTTATTGCGTACAACAAGAACACTGTTTCACTGTCAACAGAAATCCCATGTTCTGTGTGTAATAATTTCATTTGAGATATCGTGTAAATGGATATCTTTTGCCGTTTGCGATAAAAATCGATCTTAAGTGCGAGATACATATATAATATTCGGTTGAGAGTGGCCGGGGAGAAAGAAAAAAGCACAGCCCGAACGAATAGTAACATATCAATAAAAATTGTGCTGTGTTCTCTGAATTCCTTTTGCCCGCACCACTCTGTATCTCAATGACTGTGTTTCCAAATGAATTGATTTTCTATTCTCACCTATCTATCGCCGGTTGTTTATCTAAATATTATTCGAATGTAGAAAAACCATTGAAATTATATTGAGTGAGTGTGTATGACAAGAGACGTGGAGAATCGAACACGGGAGAATGAGAATGAGTTGAAAGAGAGTGAAAAAAACACACACACACACACGCACATACTCCGGTCGACCAGCGCGACTTCGTGTAAATAAAAACTATTGACAATGACAATGTTAAATGAGCCATCACGAAAGATTAATTTAAAGCTATCGAGCAGTCAAAATCAATAAAAGCGGTAACGAATCGAATTGATGATAAAATTGGTGCGCCCGGAACAAGAATAGAATCTTGATATTTATCTCGTGACAAATGTAAATTGCAATTTGATTTGTCATCAGTCATCACATACGGTGTGTGTGTGTGTGTGTGTGTGTGAATATATGTGTACGAAAGTGTGTATCCAGTGTGTGTTGATATCGATGATATGGTTTGCAATGAAAATGTAAGCGATTGCAGCCCAGATAAGCTGCTTAAACGAGATTAAAAAACTCTCGTTTTTATTTCATCATTCGCATTCTCATTTTTCTTCGGTTGTTTTTGTGCGCATTGATTTCGTTTTTATTCATCTGTTGTTGATGTTGCTCTTTTTTTTTCTCTCCTCTGTTCAACTCTTGCATCTGCCCAAGGGGCAACAACGCTCCAGCGTAGAAAAATAGAAACCTGATATTTTCTACATTGGAATGGTTGTTCAAATTCAATCCAGTCTCTGGAGCAATACGCCAGAGCATACACTTAATCATTGGCAACTTTGGAATTATAGACAAGGGCACAGAAAAAAGTGCACACAGCACGAGTAGGCGAAATGGAACTAAAAGAAAAAAAAATTACGCAGCAATCCTACAATAAACTCGCATCTCATTGGAATCTATTGAGATGGTTGGAACAACTAACTATTTATAGACATATCGATCAGATTTTAATAAAGCGACACATGCACTTTTATTCCAACTTAATCATTGTGCGGTGCATGTTCTACACACACAGAGACGCGCAGACAAGAGATACATGCGCACAGACACAAACACATTTGCTCCGATCGGCTTGCAGGTATCATTATTAAATTTCTGCATTCGATTCTGGAAAAAAAAGATTGAAAAAAAAACAATGACGAAAAACTCATCTCGAACGAAATTGGGATTGGTGCGAATGTGTGAATGTGGCGTTGATCGAAACACCAAATGTAATAAGACCCAGTGGCTACCAACACTCACTCGCTCATCGCGATCGCTCGCCCGATATAAATTATAGTACGGTATGCATAATTCAAACGCACCGAGAGCTGAGCCCAGGCAAAACCGAAAAAAAACACACGTTGCACAGAGAGATGCGTCTTTTATTACCTTTGATGCCATTTCAAAGTGCAGATTGGTGATTGCGATGATATTGATTGTAATTCAAGTGGAGTCTATCGCTGTGATTATTTACATTGCGGGCTGTTCTGTGATGCACAAAGACGCCTAGATGAATATGCGTCTGCCGTTTTTTTTTTTTAATATTTTTATTCATTTTTTTCTGTCGTTTGGTTGGTAGAGAGGCGAACGAACGCGCTTGCGCACGGGTATAAGTAGATGCTCAATGCTCGCGCGCTGTCCTTCGTTCAGTGGTTCTTTTTTTTCTGTGTTTGTTTGTTGTTTTCATATTTGTTTTCATTATAATGCTCGTAGCTATTCCTTGTGAAATGTCCTCCATCATTTGTATAATTTGTGACTCTGTCTGTTTGTAAATATTCTGTGATGTGAACACATACGCACACACCTGATACGCTTTTTCCATCAGTTTTTTTTTCGTTTTCGTGAGCGATTTTTTGTTTTGTTTTCTCCATTCCAACTTCTGTTAGTCTCATTCCTTTTTTTTCCACTAACAGTTTTTCTGTCTGCTTATTTATGTACTTTTTCCGATGCGGCGACTATATGTGAATGCATATTTTTTTTTATTTATTTTTTTTACATCGTTCCGGCCGGTGTGTGAAGGTGGTTTTTTTTCTCCTTTTCATTTTCGTTTATATTTAGAAAAGCCGTTTGACAACATTTAATATTGTGTAATAAAGTGCGTGAGCAAAAGAGACGACATGATTAAGAGCCAAGTATTGAAAGTATGGTCATTTGACATATTTGTTGTTTTTATGAACTATGAACGTATTCAATTCTTTATGTTTATGTTGCGACTGTGGACTAAAAGACAGTGCACTGAAAATGTTAAAATGTACGCAATTCGAGAAAAAAAAGCGCACAATTCCATCGGATGTCATCTAAAATATCCTAATGGTCCGTATGAGACAAGTGCTATGAATTTCCTTTATCATTCATGAAAAAAAAGGTGACAATACAATGTGAGAAATGCAGTAAGACGGCTGACCAGTCAGTTGTCTAAACCGTTATAAAGTACTTTTCTTTAATCGATAAATTTCCCCACACATACACTAGACTCAACCTCTTTCTATCTCTTTCCACATGTACCTATGTGTGAGTGTTCGAGCATTTCAGTCCACTCAACTTCTGTTCTATCTTTGGAATCATTACATGAAATTAATTTGACTGCTGATGAACAGGCATTTCAAAACAACATATTTTTCTTTAAATCACTTGTCACGTTGGAGAAAAAAATATGTCTCATTCCATATTTGATGTAAGAAAGAAAGAAAAAAAACCCGATCGATTTTGACATATTTTCCATTGATAAGTCTTCAATGTTATTTTCAGAAACGAATTTTCACATAATGCTTTTTGCCACAATGCGAAAACAAATGATTCATGAAAAAAAATGAACAGAGAGAGAGAGAGAGGAATAAAAATCGAATTCAAAATGGATGGACAAAAAGACAATGTGAAATATAAACTAAAAGCAAACAGTTGCACACAGAGCATGTCAAATAAAACTTACCTCTTCAATTAAACTGCTTGACCATAGGCGGAAATTCCGCGGAATGCTTTACGGCAAAAATGCTTTACGTTCGGCTGATCAAATTCACTGGCAGTAAGAGAGAGGGAGAAACGTCGACGTTATCGTCACGAGTGATTAAATTCCAGCAGCCAAGTTAGATCTGTGTCCACTTTTCGCTGTCGCCTTTTTGCGCTGTGTGCTTCTTCGCTGAATCAAATATGGGAATTTTACTTTTAAATGAATGCACAATTAACGATCTGCAGCGACAGCACGTAAATGCATCGGATGTGGAAGATGGAATGATTAAATGAAGAAGAAGGAAAAGAGAAAAAAAAATGAAGACAGTTACTATAAGTAAAATGCCACTATAATTAAGTTCTTTGGAAAAAATGCAATTGAAATTTTTACAGCTGTAAATTTTTGTGTTTTTATATTTTTTTCCCCCTTCGTTTTCGTTCGATATTTATGATGATTGGAAAATGATCAACCATATGTAAACGATGGCTGCATGCAAAAGAGTAAAAAGAGAATATGTGGTGCGAACGAATATGCGTTCGTGCTCACACTCGTGCGCGCAATATTCTTATCTTGTGCGAAATGCAACGAGATCACGCCATGCACATACATTGACGCACGACAGCCAAGATGAATGATACAAAGTGACATTCAAATCTATAAATTATGGAATCAACAACCTGGTGATAACAACGGGTTTCACAAACAACGGGTTTCCTTTCAGTGGGTTTAATGTTGCCGGACAAGCGTGCATCATCAGCGGAAAAGAAGAATGCTCGGCAACGAGAAATTGATGTGCCATCAATGACATCAATGAGTCAGCTTAAACGAACACTCAAAAACGCATCTCTTCTACACTCTGTGTCTTTCTGAGCAGATCATAGAGTTTTTTTTTTCTCTCGCCCGGTCGCTCACACAAATCTCACGCCAAACTGCCCAATCGAACACACACACCAACTTCCTTTCTCTTGTCCACCGAAATGCTGCTGCCGATAAATTTAAATTCGTTTATTTGGTGTGATTTTTAGTTTTGTTTTGTTTGCGTTCAAATGGATCGAAATTGTCGGCCATATTATTACTTTATTTTGAGATTGTGTTTACAAGACACAAACATTTAGCTATCGTGATAATGCTCTTTCATCCCTGGTATTTATCTATTTTGTTTTTCTTCTTTTCTGTGTTTGTTCTTGCTTGCATCGCCGTTGTGTGCATTCGATTCTGTGTTTTTGTTGGTTGTTTTTTTTCTCTCTTTCTCTTGTGTTGCCTGCTTTTTTTCGGTGTGTCTCTGCTCTGTGTGTGCTGTGGCACTCTGTTGGTTTTTTTTCTCGCTCTCCTCTGTATTCCACTTCGTGGTATGTACGGTGCATTTTGTGGCACATTTTTTTTTTCTTCGATTAAAGAGGACCTGAACTAAATAAACTTATTCGTAAATATCAAATATGTACTTATATGCGATCCAAATGGCAAAGCGCGACAGAAAAAAAAATACTCTCCGTGATTTAAACTACATTTTTTTTTCCATTTTGCCTTCATTGGTATTCACAATTCATTATTTTCCCATCTATGTACTTTTTCTTGATTCGATTTTCTTGGCATGAATTTTCGCTTCTCATAGCCTTTTGCCATCCCATGCACTTATTTCTCGAAATGGCAAGTCGAGTGGAGCAAAAGCACAGCACAGCACAGAACTGCAACGACACACAACAAACAAACAAACAAACAACAACAGCAACGAACGAATGAACGAAAACAAAAAAATCAACCATACAAAATAAAAATAAATAAACGATAAAAATAGCAGAAATGAAATAGAAAAATTGTACAGAAACAATCTTGTTTTCGTTTTCACGACATTTTATAGGGAGACCAATTCAAAACGTTTAAAGGGAACGGTTGGTCCCGTACGTATCGATTTTTTTCGTACTTCTTTCTATATATATAAGTATATCTGTTTTGTTTTTCTTTCGCAAAGAGTCGATGCGCGTTGAATTTGCTTCATTTTATCAACTTTGCCATTTTTCCCCGTTTGGTTTTTTTTTTATTTCCGTTGGTTTTGAATTCGATTTTTTTTGTCGTCGTCGTCGTCGTCGTCATAGTCGTCGTTTTGCTAGCGCTGCACTGCAAATGCACCGCATCGAAAAAGAGTAACTCGACGAGACGATATTGGCCAACAAAGTGCATGCACTGTGAGTGTGACAATAATGAATGCGATCGAATTGGAGTCAGCCAGTGAAATTAAAAGGCATTGTGAGTTTTTTCTTCCACCGTGTAAAAGAAAGTCGATAGAGTGGAAGTGCTGAATCGAGTTAGAATAGAAGAATCGATTGAAAATGCATCGATGTTTTGTTTCGAATCAAAGTGCGGAAACACTTGGTTGGATCGAGTTGGCTCTTTTTTTCTCATTCTACCGTTTCCCCGGTGTTTGGCGGTATATGTGTGCATTTGAGAGAGTGCAGGGCAGCAATTCGACTTTTCTTTTTTTATTCGACCGTCTCATCTTCTCTTCCACTTTATTTGCTATTAATCATTCTCAAACATGGATATGACTTTTCTGTCGTGCCTTTGGAAAAAATATTGTTTGCTTGTTGGTTTGTCATGAGTACTTCTTCTTCTTCTTCGTCGTCGTCGTCTGTTTTCTTCTCTTTCTCATTTCTTACATTTCTCAATCGTTTTTTCTTCGTCTATTTTCCGTTGTTCTTTGTACATTCTCCAAATTCATCGATTAGAATAGTAACTTTGTGTAATGGAGTGACAAAAAGAATTTGAAAACTTTTAAATGCATCCTGTGTGAATAATAATACAATGGAGGATTCAATTAGTTTGAATGAGTGTTCCGTTTGCTTCTGTTTTGTTTTCGCTTTTCATTCTCACGATTGCTTTTTTTCCAATTCCCGAATATATGTATGCTTCGTTTGATTGCGTCTTTATCGATCTTTTTCCACGGATTTATTGCTTACACTGAATTCGATAAGAACAATACTTGAACGGGAAACATGAACGTATTCTCTGGGGTTTTTTTTCGCTCATATTTTTGTTCTTTGTCTTTTGACCAAAATCTCCACTAGACTCAGTTTTTGTTCGATCATAAAATTCGCAAAGAATTGTGAAATACACATAACTGTTTCAAAAGCTATGAGTTTTTGCTCATTTTAATCTTGTCCATTGTTCTGCACCAACAACAATTTTCCATACATATTGTCCGCCGTTTAAACACACTTGGGTCACTTACGAGTGCGAGATGAAAAAAAAAAAAAAAACAACAAACACACACACACGAACGAACCCGAATATTCGCCAATTAACCGCGTCAACTGAGGGAACAAACCAAACTGGATAGATGAAAATCTCATTCCATTTAAAGTGCGTCCAATAAAACAAATACACGAAAATTCCATTTTCAGGATTTGAAGACGAAGAGAATGAAAAAAAAAATATTGATTTGTTGAAATAGATGGAATCGCATGGAGTGTTTCATTGTGAATACCTCAAAACCGCTACTCCGTACACTTCGTGGTCGTGCGCATAGTTGAATAAAAAAAGGTGTTTTTGTTCCTTTCGTTCATCTTTCGAATGTGTGTATACATTTATCGGTTTTCATCTATTTTATTGTTGCTAATAGGTAATAGCTCATAAAAATGGAGATTTCTTCATTTGGTTTTGTGGAGAGGGAGATAGCAAGAGCGATAGAGGCAAGAAAAACGAACGTGTCGCTAGTCGCTAACGAAAAACTGACGAAAACTCAAGCAAAATGTACTAATTGGTAAGATACACTTTGGCACGTTCAGATCGATTCTTCAAGTTCATTTGGCTGGTGTGTGTGTTTAGTTGGCTGGGATTGATCATGTTTTTTTCTTTCTTCTTCTTCTTCTTCTCTCTCTCTCTCTCTCTCTCTCTCTCTCTCTCTCTCTCTCTCTCTCGTTACTACGGGCTTCTAAACCATTGTATTGTTGATATTCTAGTTTCTTCATGTGTATACGGTTGAAGCAAGATCTTTGTTTAGCCACAACAATGTGAGAATCGAAGGAAATAAAAAAGAAACCAACTGGATATGTACTGTTCTCTCCTGAGATCGTGTTGAGAACATTGTTTGTCAGTTAATGTATTGGTGCAAAAATGCGATCACATTCTTTGCTCAATCGAACGAAGAAAAATGATGAGCAAACCAATACCCATTTCCATGGAGAATATTGCATTTATGTGGAAAGAGTTTTCTATGGTCTCAGGTTCAAAGTAACTTTCAAACTACGTGTCGGAACCAAAATTTATTTTGAACTTTTATTTTCTTTAACTTGTGTCTCAGTCTCACACACTTTTTTTTTCGCCCCAAAAATCGTACATAGACGTGTTTTTTTTTCGTCAAGTCTTCTTCTACACTGTCCCACTCATCGAAATTCTAGCGACTATTGTGTTGGATTTGCTATGAAAAACGATGCCTAATTCAAAATTTAACAAGAAAAATTAAAATACGGCATGTGAACAACGGTAGAAATCAGATAGAGAGAGTATTAGCGACCGTACGTGAGAGCATTTCGGATATGAGTAACAAAAATATTAGTGATGAAATTGATGGCCAAGCCGAGGCTATAAGAAACTAAGAGCTTTTGTTCGCAATGAATCGAAACGATAAGTTTATTGACTTCTTATCGAACACTTCTGCTATCATCACGTTTTTTTTTTGTTTTTGCGCTGCCGCCGCCGCCGCTGCTGCTGCTGATACTGCTGCGTAGCTAATGTTCTTAAGATATACGTACGGCCGTTAGAATCGGATCGAAAAGCATTCAATTGTTATTGATATGTAACAATAGAATTGCGAATGCGGAACATGATACGATAAATGAATGCTATGTGTTTTTGTTGCAGCCCATATATCGGATCAGAGAGATGTTCGACAAATTATCTCAAACCCACAAAGATGAATCATGTTTGAAGCGAAAACCAAAAACAAAAGAAACCGTACATATTTCGATTCGCCGATCCATGCATATGTTGTTCCTCCTATATTCTTATCTTCTTCTTCTTATTTCGTTTTTTTTTAATCAAAATATTATGATCGGTTGAGTGTTGAAAATACTGTCGGTATCGTTGTCATCACACAGTTACCAATCAATTTCAGCATGGGGTGGTCGTATATTTACGTTTCCATGTGAGAAGAATCATGAAATGGCTCCAGACACATTCTCAGTCCTCTCTCTGTCTCTTTCTCTTTCTCTCATTCGCTCAAAATCTGGATGAAAATCGAAGGAAAGAAATGCACTTTTTCCCATTGCTAATCGCTTTAACCGCATACATTAATCCACGCTTAAGTGAACACTTCGCGATATGTAAGCTCTTCTTGACGTAAATAATATTGTTATTCATTTACTCTGTTGATCGATCCATTTTGACGTGTAGAGATCGGTGGTTCAAGGCGCGCGCAGCAGCAGCAGCGACGGCGGTGGCAGCATCGAATATGATGGCGTACAGCCAACGATACAGCTCCACACCACATAAAGTCATGGTTGATGAATGATTTCAGAATCATTCTCAAGCCCATCAATTTCATGGTGCTGCATAATCTGATTACATTCAATTCCACCGCAATAGTTTTGTAAGTTGAGCTGCTTCGTTTCCAATGATGGAACACTATAAAGAATTAATTTAGATATTCGAAATTCCCGAGTGTGTTAGTTCTGCTGTTTGCATTTCGCGCTCGAGATAACAATCTACTCATACTGAGCAGCATCGGAAGTTTGAATTCTCTCTTTCTCTTCTGATCATTCCGATGTGATTATCCACAGTCAGTAGTTAAACGCCATCGGAAAATCATTTGATTAATTTTTTTAATCTATCGATCGAATCGTCCCTCGTTGTTTTTTCTTCTGAGTTGATGCAAATAAATCAATTGCAAAAGATATGATAATTCACGAGCATTTTGAATAATTGATTGCCGAGCAAAATGTGTATAATTTGAGAGCAGCTCGCCGAAATTGACTGACCATTCAATTCGTTCTGTGAATGGGTAATGTGAAGCAAAAGTGTTGAAATCTCCATCAATTTTCAACACTCTCATTCACTTGAGCAACCTCACACACAATCCGATTATAATTGTAATCCCGTGCTATTGAGTGTGTAAATGAAGCGATTAGTTTCTTTTCGATAAGTCATGTATATAGCCAATAAATAAGCCTATAGACGCCGTGTCCAAAATTTTTGCCGACCAGCCATTGCACGGTACATTGTGGCTTCTGTCATTCAGTTTCCATTAAATAAAGAATGAAGCAGTAGATTGATTTGATATGCGCGCACGAGCGCTCGAGACCGTGATCAATTTCCATATTGTCAGGCCATGTGTATATCTCTTCTTCGCTTTTTCGGCTGCTGCTGCTGCTGTGGAGTATACTTTTCGAACGCGCTATTATAATAGATTAACTCAAGTCGAACGGATAAGCTAACTGTATTGAGTGGCGTTCTGCCTGACCGATTCGACAAACGAAAACAAATTTATTCGATTTGCACATTATTTTCTCGCTTGACTCTTCGAATGCTCAGATCCGAAAATTCCGATATCTTGTTTAATATCGTGGGATTTTCACGTTCGTCGTACATGGCCGATTCAATTACATGCCCGAGAAATTATAGTATATGAAAAAGAAGAATGCCTTTATGTTTTTGTCTGTGTTTTGTTTTTGTTTGTGTTTTTTTTCGGGTTCGTTTTTTTTTCTGCCCGAACTAACTGACCATTTGCATCAATTGCAGATGAAATTGATCGTTATTCAATTGAACTAACAAATTAGCCTGAACATCCAAATTGATTGTTTGCATTTGAAAATGAGAACCGAATAAGAGTAAATCCAGACAATTTTCATTTTTTCGCTTGAATCCGAAGGAAGCGAAGGAAAAAGAATTGTGTTGCTGTCGCCGTTGTTGTAGTAGAATTTTGTTTTTGTCCAATGCCTAATCGATAAATTAATGGTTTCGATGTGACTCTTTTCATAAAATAGCATACGTTGACTGGGCACAGTGGGAAAGTGATGGCAGCTAAGTTCTTGGGCGAACCATCGAAAGTCGTAACTGGAAGTCACGATCGTACATTGAAAATATGGGACTTACGGAGTAGAGCATGTGTTGAAACGAAATTCGCTGGTTCTAGTTGCAACGATTTAGTCACAACGGGCACCGATGTATCCGGTACCACCATCATCAGTGGACATTACGACAAAAAAATCCGATTCTGGGATACACGAACCGATTGTTCGGCCAACGAAATTGTGCTACAAGGTAAAATTACATCGTTGGATCTATCGAAAGATTGTCAATATTTACTGAGCTGTGTTCGTGACGATACAATTAAGTTATTGGATTTACGCATGAACCAGATAATCAGATCGTTTAGGTAGCGTATCTTTGGAAATCTCTTTGTTTCATTCTTTCTTTCTCTTTCTGAGTGTATGTTCGGCCGGTTCACACACAGGTCGAATCCGAAAACAGCGAATAATACTTGTTCCCCTCCTCTCTTTTTATTATTTTTTTTTGTTTCGGTTGCTGTACGGTGTCATGAGCAGCAATGACAATTTTAAAGTTAGCTGTGACTGGTCCCGTGTTTCGTTTAGCCGTGATACGAGTCGCATTGCGGCTGGCTCAAATGACGGTGCAATATTCGTCTGGAATATCAATGGGCAGTTGGAAGGCACGCTTAAGGAAAATTCGTAAGTGTTACATTTTGCAAAAAAATGCGCTTTTTCTGTTCTTGTTCTTGTGTGAGTATATGTAAGTGTTTTGCTTAAAAATTATGTGGATGTGCTGTAAGACATGTTGTTGCTTTCATTTTCTTTTGGATTTCACTTTGGGCAATTGCAAATCATACGCATTTCTGAGTGCAATGTGCCTCGAAACTCATTCGCTTTCATAATGTGCGGTGTGTGTGTGTGTTTCACCGATTCCCATTTACTTTTGCTTGTAAGTTAGACCAAACGAAAAAAGAAAAAAAAAGAAACAACAACAACAACAACAACAACAACCGCACCATCAGTTCTCCACATATCTTTCTAAGTTGCACCAGAAAACGTACCAAAAACACAATGCAATCAATTCATTTCATTGTGAGTCACACGTACACCGAATTGGAGGAAGCGAAGAATGAAAAAATGAACGATTCTGTGGGCATTTAAATTTCTCTTTTTTAAAAGGCTGCCCTTTTTTCATTCTCTCGGGTGAAAAGAAAGTGAATGAGGAAATTCAATCATTTTTTTTCCTCTCTTTCTCAATTGAAATGGAAAACCGATTCGGCAGAAACACTCATATTCAATCAACCTTATTTTCTTGTATTTTTACGTGATTCACACCTCGCGAATTCATTTTGTATCACAATTTGCGGAGCAACTTAGAAAGTTTTGTGGTCACACCAGCATTTCATTTAATTTCATTTTGTGGTGATGACTCAATTTTTCCAAATTTCATTTCATTTCAACCAATTTCATTGGAAAGAACGAAAAAAAATGCAATGACAACTATTTTTTTTTGCGTAAATGTGTAATCGTTTGCATCAAAATGGAAAACATTGTTTTCTCACCTCCCAAGACCGGGTGGTTTGTTTATTCGCAGTGCTGCTGCTGTGACGGCCGTCTCATGGAATCCATTCAGCTCAGTATTGGCAACGGTGGATCGAGCCAAATCGTGTATCATTTGGACATCAGCTTAAATCAACAGCCCCTCCCCTCTCTCCCATGCAAACACCAACACAACAACGCAACTCAACATACTAAGCCGAAGATCATCGATCACGGATCAAATCGAGGTGATGTCCAAACTTTTACTGGCCATCACGATAAACAATTTTTTTTTTAATTCCAAAAGACATTTCAAAATCTCCAGTTTTATTAAGTATCTTTGTGTATCAATTTGCGTTTTCCAGTTTTCTAATATGTTTTCCATTGAAAAAGAAAAGTAAAAAAGCTATATTTTCACGCTCATTCGATAGAAAATTGAACTCTATGTATTTTCTGTATGATAATCGTAATAATTTTTTTTCTATATTTTTTTTAAACATTTTACGTTGTTTTGAATCATAATTCCAATGTTTCGAACACATATTGATTATTATTGTAAATGTACGTATTAATTAAATAAATCTGCTACAAATCAACACATAATTTGAAAGAAAGCCGGCCATTTGATCCCATTGACGTCACGGGGACGAGCATAAACAAAGTGTCATGTGTTCGCAATGCGTTTGCGGTGTATGAATCTCGTTTTATGTGGCGTTCAATGTGCATATAATCGATAATATATATTATATGTGTATAGTTTCATGAGAAGATATTAAAATACTATATAAGGAAATGTAACTTTATTCTTTTACGGCGGTCAACACGACTAATAAGACTTCAATTAGACATTTATGATCAAAATTATGAATCCCAGCAATCCGACAGGCCACATTTATGTCGTCACAAACAAAATCGAATGAGGAAAACGTAAATGTTCTGGATAAGTGTGTGTTTTTCGAAGAAGAAAAAATTCAATGTACTATGGATCTGTGATCGAATTATAGTTGTATACATTCAATTTGAATGAATCTGTTTCGCTAATTCCAATCGATAATAATGATGAATGAAATATAAAATGCTTTTTGTGTCTAGTTATTTGTATGCATCAAATGGTCCACTGAACGAGAGCCAATAATTCAGTGAGTTTAGCTAAGAACAAGACGTATGAAAATAGTTGAGCAATAGATGAAACATTTGTTTAAATTTCGTTTTGTTTTTAATGTGATACAAATTTTCCTTTGAAAATGTTAATTTGCAAGTGGTTTCTTTTCGAGCCTCTTGTCAACTTGGCCGCTAATTTCTTGTTCAGTTTAATACTTTAATAGATTGTCATTTTTTTGTTGTCAAATTCCATTGATCCAGCTAATTTTGCACACCAACAGAAAGAAAAACGAGAAAACATTGAAATGAGAAGATTCCTAAGCACTTTTACTCATAGTTGATACGCATAAAGATAGTTCAATAAGACATAATTTTGCAATAATAAATGAAAACCATTTAATATTTTTCAAAAACTTAGGTGCTTTTCATTTCATTTTTATCTGTTTCAAAAGCGTGCTCTGCCTTTGACCGCAGTGGAAGAAAAAAACAAGTGCTGAACCAGAGAATACAAAGAACAGGAATAATAGAAGAAAAAAACTGCTGGCACCGCCACAGTGTTTTGCATATTAAAGAGATTATTTTGTGTGGCTTCGTCGTCGTCGTCGTCGTCGTCGCCGTCGTTGTTTGCTTTAAGAATTGGGCTTTTTTTTGCTTCATATTGTATGAACGTTTTTTCAACACATTAAAAACTTAATTGACCGCTATCAATCAAATTGATGCGAAGTCTTTGATCAAATAATTTGACCAACAATGTGGATGGGTAAGTGAGCAAGAATGGAACCAACAAAACAAGTGAACAACAACCACACAGTAGAATAAATAAATAAATACTGTATCAAAAATTCTATAGATTTGTGCGTTGGTTCTTCTCTCTGTGTGTGTGTTTTTTTCGCACTTGAGCGTGCAATTGATGAGGGAAATAAAAAACTACGACCATACTAACGATGCCATGATTGGCTGCGATAGGATGATGGCATTCACCGGTCGACGGTGAATATTTGTGCCGTTCGGTGAAGTGTTTGCCCATGCTACAATTGTTGCCTCGAAAAGATCAATAAACCATAATTGATTACGTTGATTTATATCGTGGTCGATTTAAGATTTGTGTGACGTAAGCATGTGTAGCCGCGACTCTTGTTTGTTTTCCATGTGTTTGCGCCTTGGCCGGATTGCAAACCGGAGATATTTCAACATGAAAGTAAATTAATGAAAAACGAAAATGTAACCGCTGCTGTGACTGCTGTTGCTACAATGGCTTGGATATGTTCTGTGCGCGTTTTTATTTATTCGCCGTTCGAATCCAAATCACAGAGGATGTAATGAAGAGCAGCGCGCAACTGAATGGAGTAAAATAAAAAGAATGTAATTTATCACGGTTCGAGAAATTCCTTGCCAATGTACAGATAGTTTCGCTCACTTGCACATGGATTGGTCTTCTTTTTACTCGAGTCGTTCGTCGCACGCATTTGGCGTTATCGTAATTTCAATTCGACCTTTACATCTCGTGTTTAGTGCACATGATTCTCTTTCTTCACGTCCAAAGTACTTTCTTCGTACGCATTTGTGCACTGGTTGCTGCTTTTTTTTCATGAATCTTTCTCTTATTCCAAATGGAATAGGAAAGATAATCGGAACGAGGCAAAGAAAAAAAACACAATCGAGTTACAACACAACTCAACTGATTCTGAACATGGTATTCAAACCTCAACTTGTAATAACATGTTTTCAGTTTCGAAACAAGCACTTGCTCGAACCACGTCGACAGCAGTGAGGAAAAAGGAGCAGAGCACTTTTCACAGTGCACACAGAGCAACGATGGATGCAAAAAGTGAAGAAAAAGTAGAAAATACTTTAATTTAATCACCGCGTAATTTTTTCGATGTTGACCGTGTAAAGTATTGTATCTCAATTGAATTAAATACGTCTTGGTTGCTCGATACAATCCGCGAGGCAGCCGACTGTAAGGCGAATAGAACAAAAAAAACCGAAATGTAGATGTGCAAACGAACAAACGTTCAACAAAAAGTGAATTAAAACGTTTGTAACACTCGTCGGTACACATGTTTCAGGTAGAGAAAGATTGTTCTCTACAATGTACAAAACACTCGCGCATTTGCTGGTACAAAATCCGATCTGCGGCAAATTCTCAAATAGCATGCCCATTGAAACGAACAATTTCCCTCTCCGTCGTGCGAATTGATAATGAAAATCGACTTTGAAGCTATTAATTATTTCGCAACATAATTGAAATGCAACTTGGCTTTGTGCAGAACAAAACTGTCGGTGACCCTTTTTTTTGCCGGCATGCCATTGTTGTTGTTCTTGTATTTCGTACACTTGCAAAACGGATTGCGGCAAAAAGGGTCTGCAAAAACATTATACACGCACTAACGGCGGCGGCGGCATTAAATTGTCTTCTCTTATGCCACTAAAAAATGACAATTTAGAATAAATTTCCCCGCCAGTAATTGATCGTATAATCATCGAAGCCTAATAAAGTTATGCATTTCGTTGGGTAGTTGGCGCGCCTCGCCAATCACAAACGATGACAGCCCGACAATATTTGCATGTTTGCGTATCGATCAATCTAATTCAAGAGCATATTTTGAGTGACGCATTTCACGAGTGTGAAGTGGCTTTCATTCCAACATATAATCACGAATACTTTAAATATCTTAATACGCATTGCCACAGCAACCAGGCTGCGAAGCCCATCACCAGCAAAATGCACATAGAAAATATTTTGCTATCTGGTCGTAGCGTGAAATACTTGGCGCATTCTCTCTCTCTCTCTCTGATTTAGAGACGTTGTACACGCGAAACCAAAATGCGCATTTCCTTTTTATTTGTACAAGAATTAAAAGGAGCTTTAGATAGCTGTTGTGCACTGGAAACCGTATGGTAATAATTTATACTTAGTGTTGTTATAGCCTGCATTCTCTATCTCGTTTGACGCTCGTTCTCTACCTATCTCTCTCTCTCTCTCTCTCTCTCTCTCTCTCTCTCTCTCTCTCTCT